ACATGCCCATTTTAATAATCTGATAGAAAACATTTGTTGAGCACAACATACACCATTTTACCATATATTGTGAGGAAAACACTGAAAAAATATATTTGAAACAATGTTATATATTTCAGCAAATATTCTTTTAGCTGTACAATGACCCGTCACCGTACACAATGTACTGCTGTAAATATCTAGCCTTCATAATCCGCCAGGAACAAAAGACAAAAATAAAATCCAGACTTCTTCTGCACCTCATGTGAGGTGTTGTTGGTTGCTTCAGGCTGTACAAACATTTCTGACTAGAATTTCAAACCCAACAAACATATACAAATTGTCAAAATTTAACTGCATAACTTGTCATGTTATGGTCTTATTCCAAAACAGCTTGCTAAACACTATAAATCAGAACCACCAGACATGTTCAGTGAAACTGATTTGACATGTGGTAGTGCATATAAATAATAACAAATATACAGGGAATATTAACAATCAATATTAATATTATCATATATAAGAATAAGATAATAAATACACTGTTACAAACAGCTGGAGGGTCACTACAACACAGCTGGGTGCAACAAGGTTGTGCAACTCTGTGACCACTTACACACACACACACACTCTCTCTCTCTCTCTCTCTCTCTCAAACACACGCACAGGAAATATCATGTCATGACATGACAACCTCTCTTCTGAAGGTTGCACCTCACAACGTGGTACCTTTAAGGTAGTGTTGGACAGATCAGCAACCAGCTGCGGATCTGTCGACATATTCAAAGTGCTGCAATAAAACTACAAGATACAATTCGCTAACTGGTGTCTTTTTAAATGTGCACACCGTCTCACAGTCATTCAAGGTTCAGAATAAGTCACGTATTCACGAGAATGGAATGCTGTTAACTACAACAGGTGTGTGGTGTGTGTGGTGTGTGTGGTGTGTGTGGTGTGTGTGTATGTATACGGGGGAATTACAAAGTGGAAACAGATGTCCCATACTGGAATAGCTCAGCACAATACAAGGTGATTTTTCTCTTAGATATTCTTGGTGAATAATTGATAATTGGCTTTCACTGGCCTGCACTATTCATCCAGCTACAGGAAGATGTGAGGTATCAATTTGGCTTCTGGTTGGAAGTTTGACTTGTTACCCTAGTGACTCTTCAAGCATGGGAACACACTTTTCAAAAGGTGGCAGTGAAATCGTCAAGTGCTTTCTTGACAAGGCTTGTTGGAGAGTTTTGTACTAAAAAAAAAAAAAAAAAATGTATTTCCACTTTCAAGGAATCTGATCTATGAGTTGTTTAATTGCTTATGAAGTGAAGTATTGAAAAGAAAACAGTTGGATAAAATTATTATTTTGGTTTTACATGTTTATAATGACACTCTTCGTCTTATGCCACAAAGTGCAAATTGTGCTGGGAAGCCAACTGATTTTAGAAATACATCCACTGGGGTTTGTGAGAACAAGCTTATACTATTGCCAGAACATTAGGAAGACTGTGTGAGACAAATGTGTCCATTTTGTAGAAAACGTTGACACATCTTACAGCTACATGAACGTGTTCAATAAATTATAAAAAACACTTACAAAAAGACACGGCCGTTAAAAAAAGGCACACAACTTTGTGTTAGAAAAAAAACAACTTGGTTACAAATAACTTGCTGACCAGTCGTTTTGGTTGGACACTAAAACCAGGTGGCATCCAATCCTGACACAGGAACATTAAAAAACACACGTCCTGAAGTGCAAGTTTAGAATTTTACGAGTCCCAGTATATGGATACACAATCGTCCATTTCACCTTCTTTGTTTGTGAGAATCATGATTCAGCCCTGCCTCTGCAGTTCCACAGAAGTCCCTTCTTTAAAGAACAGACGCTACACTCCTCCAGCTCCCTTCTAGAGGGGCTCAAAAACAAACTGCTGCAGGGTTTCCAAGCCTTGTTTACAAGGGTGCCCCACATTCAGTCAGGCCCTCTCTGCCAGGCAGCTCTGAAGAGCCAGATTGCAGGATTGCTCCACTGCAATTAAATGAATTCAGCCAAAACAGCAGAACCTGCTGCATTCTAAGAACACCATCAGTTCAGCTATGTTTCCGCTGGGGAGAGGTCACGCGTTGCCATTTGTACGCCATCCTGATCAGAGGGATGGTCCTGGAGTGTCACGCCGTCAGCTGTCTCCATCATCCCGCTCTGGCTGTCTCCATCCTGGTCATCCAGCGTCAGTTCAAACTGAAATTTACTCGCCACAGGTCCCCCCTCCACCTCCCCATGTGGGCCACCCTCCCTGTCGCTGGTGTAGAAGGGAGGGGAAGGACTCTGGGGGATCATGCTCTGGTACCAGTTCCTGTTGTCCTCCAGCGTGTCCAGGATGTCCTGGGCATCGGGGTGGACCAAGTCGGCCCACGTCTCCCACAGAGGGTGGACAATGTAATCGATAAAGCCAACCTAGAAAAGATAACAAGGGCTGATGTCAGGAAAAGTGATAAAACAAAAACAATACCAACTTTCTATTTTTGGAGCTAGATGTGTGTTCCCTACCTGCGTTCTCTCCACTGAAGCTGTGTGTTTGTCACACATCGGACTTATCTCCATCCCCCTCTCTCTCTCTCTGTCTCCCTGGTGGAAGAACTCATCCATGATCCTGTCTGTCCACTGTCGGTAAAGATCCAGAGGCTTGGTCGGGTTGCTCAGGTCTGCACAGTGAACCATGTTGCGCAAAACCTGCAGATAAAAAAAAATGCAATTAAAAAATTAATTCTCTTTGGTTTGTAGCCAACTGTCTGCATCATGTGTGTACAAGCCTGCCTTTTACCTGCATTCTGTCTGTATAGTTGTCCAACAGCAGAACTCCAGAGCTGGTCACTTTCTTGGTTTCTACCATCGTCTTCAGATCAGCCAGCAGGCTCATGTGTTTAGACATGTCAGTTGCCAATACCTGGAAGAGAGAAAGACATTTTTAAGAAATGATTTAGTCAAGTAGTTAAGACATCACTCTGGAAGCTAAAACTGGCCTGCAGTTTCCGACTGACATGCAGATGTTTCCTCACCATGTCAATGACCATCCTCCGGAGTGTCTGCCTCTGCTTCTTGCTGAGGTTTTGGAAGATGTCGCAGTTGTCTTCCTGCAGCAGCTTGAAGCCCACAGCCAGGTGGTGGTTCTCCAGCACTGACTCATCGTTGTACATCAGAGCCAGCTCGGAGTCTAAAGGCAGAGGAGGGAGGAATGACAGGAAGAGAGAAATTAAATTTTTAAACTCAGGTCAGGGAATGTTCCGAAAAACCAACGTTGTTGCCATTAAACCGTGCAAATATTTCAGTGATGTGGAAATCTGCTGACTTTTTTGACAATTAGACATGACTTACTGGTGTTGATGAGGAACTGGTTGGACACGCCTGGGTGGTCCACGTCATGAATGGCTGCAGCGAAAATGGCCGCCAAGATCTCCAGATCTGTGAAGACCGCCTGTGTTTGAAGAGCAGGAAGGAGAATAAAGCCAGTTAATAAACTGCCCAAACAAGGTAAGGTATTTGACAAATGTTTCAGGCAGATCTGTTCATCTGTCATCCTCTCTGGCATGTTGTTTCAGCCAGTTCATGCCATTGTTTGTGACAGTGATGCCAGTCACTTGCCTCATTAAATCATAATAGCTTGTGAAAGAGGTGTGGACCATGGTACCACACTTGAATGGTTGCACGTGTTTATCAGGTAAGTAACCAGAACTTAATTTAAGACCAATGTTACAACTAATTATAGCAACAACAAAAAAAAATTCCAACTGTACTTTGTTACTAAAAGGTAGTGAATTCTGCATGATCACTCATGTGACTTACATCCAGTGCGGGAGTGGACAGGAGGATATGTGTGGACTGGGCTACATCAGCGGCGTGTAGGCTGTTGTGGTAGGCCACGTCAGAGTGATAGTGGCCCTCCAGGGTCAGCATGAACGTCACAAAGGTGTCCGTTGGAATCTTGAACGTCCTCATCAGGTCTCGCTCCTGCATGCGACACAGAGGAAGAAAATGTATAAGAAAAACAAGACTTTAACAGTGGGAATTGACTACTTACTGAAGGTGTTATACCACGCTAGTTGTACTTTCAAGCATCTCTTACAGCAGACGTAATTGCCACCAGACTGGTGATCTGACCTCAAGATCAGTTTTGAAACTGTGTCCAGCAAATTGTCAATCATACACTACATAAAAGGCTGGAAATCAATTTCATCTGCTAATGTCCCTCCAGCAGACGTTCCTGTAGCGATACGGACAGCTGACGGAACAGAACATTCTGTACACAGTGACATGCGCTGCGCCTCATGCCTTCTATAGCCGTGTGTGCTTGTATGAGCGTTTTTTTCAATTTTTTAAATGAGTGTTTTCTGAATTAACAATGAGGTCGAAGAGGCAGTGACACTAACCTGAAAGATGGTGTACATGATGCATGTGAGCGGCCGGGCATGGGAGTGCTCGGCCACTCTGAAGATATTCAGGCCCCATTTGTTGATGTCCTCCAGGTCCTATTTAGTAGTAGAGTAGACAAGACGACTATAAGTCTCAGCCAATCACATACTTTTCATTTTGTTTTTTTTTGCTGTATCTGTCCATCACATACCTTCGACAGCAGTTCCTCCTGGTCCGTCTTGACCCCAAAACGATTTCCGGCGCTTCCAGAAATGCTGGGCGTGTGGCTGACCTTCCTCACCCCACTGATCTGAGTCATCATCCCACCCTGCTGCTGCTGCTGTTGCTGATGGCCCTGCCTCCTCTTCCTTTCCCTCGACTTAGGAACTGGACACGGAAGCTCCAACTCATTCTGCTTGTCTGGAGAAAATAGAAATAAACACAAAAAGAGGACGGGAGAAATAAGAAGAAAGAAAAGAAAAAAAGATATTAAAAATGTGGTTTTTAGTTACTCTTGAGACAAAGATAGACTAGGCTAGGGGATGATGCATAAGCATCCTGTCTTGTGTTGCCGCTGTACTGACTGAACTTAATTAACACAGGGAGGTAGCTGACCTCTCACACATATGTGACAAAACATTAGAGCTGCACAGACAGTTGTTTTATTAGCATGAAATCCTTCAGTTACAGTTTACTTTGTTAAAAAATAAACTTTCTTTACAGCAAAAAAAAGCAAAACATTTAAAATGATTCACATAAAAAGATGATAAAACCTTAACAAAAAGGATCTCATGAAGGGTTATGAAATCTGAAAACACTCCAGTGGACCGTGCATTCTGAGAAACTGAACTGTGTTGCAATAACAATCCACAGAATACTGGAAAGTCTGGCTCATATTAAGCTGAAATGTGTATGCAGGTTTGTTTGTTGCATACAATCCAGTTTGTCTGTTGGCTGAGTGAGATTTTCACATGCTTCACACAGTTGACAGCGCGTACCTGTGTGAGTGCAAGACCCGGTCTGTGCACCACACACACACACACACACACACACACACCGCAGTGAGAAAAAAAATATCTCAGCTGCATCCTCCACAAAGCACAGGAAGAAAATGATCTCACTGCACCTGACAGGTGCTAGCTGCAATGCAGATGACAAGAAAACCACTGAGCTTCAAAGATAAGCTGTGTTTCTCTCTGTGCTCTTGTGTTTGTCTCTTCTCTCTAGAGCAGCTCTATCATGCAGAAATCTGTACCACTGCGCCACTTCTATTGTTAGGAAAGGCATAGTTTCTTCGACTGTGCATCCATCGCCTCTCTTCCCTCTTACATTTAGCTCCTCCGAGGTGAGAAGATGGAAGTGTCTTTACTAGCGAGAGCAGAACATCAGTCTGCCAACAGCCCTGATAAGCTGGTTGTCCAGGTGTATGCTGGTGGTGAGTTGGATGGGAAGGTGTAAAACCTGAGGGGGAGACTGGCAGACTGGTCACAAAATGCTGCCGGGCTTTTAAGAGACAAGGAACACTGACGAATAATACTGTGTCTCTCTGGACCTGATGGCTCTCCCCACCCTCTCCTCCACGCTTTGCCCCTGATCTCCCCAGAGGGGAGTCTTCCGAGTACAACCCCCTGCCTGCCCCATCTCTCCCCTCCTGACCAGATCAGACTGGTTTGAGAGCAGTGGAGCACACAAACTCCAAGTTTCTCTGCTACTTAGCACATGTTTGGGTAACCTCACAGCCTCTGCCACATTTAGAAAGTCATTCCTGAAGGATGTTGGCTCGTATAAGTCTTGCATTAGAGCTATGCACTCCAGCGCATTATGTGATGGCACAATGCATACTTCCATGAGTGTTTGTGTGTATGTGTGGTTATTTGTGCGGGAATATGTGCTGCAGTGCTCACCTAGGAAGGTGTTGGAGATGTACTCTGACACTTGGTTGCCTGAGCGACTCATCTCAGACAGGTGGCTCAGCTCCCGGTTCAGCATCCTCTTGAACTGGAGATATAGAGGAAAAAAAAAACATAAGTTAAATGATCTATACAAGAAAATACATGTCATTACATCATTTTTCTGCTGTTTCCGAGCAGAGGAATGAAGCATTTCCTGTTATTTTCCACTGGACTATGTCCCATGAGAACATGGCCTCTGTTTTTTAATGCGCCATATAAGGTCTGTGTTTATGCCTTCTTGGTCCTGGTTTGAGTTTGCCACTAAGCCACTTGACTGCCTAGCATTTCAACAAACAAAATGCAGTGCTTAAAATACAACATACAGTGTCATAATGTTTATGCTGCTTTTTTACCAGGGAAACAAAATGCGCCAGCTTTTTTCAGTGCACCCACCATTGAGGTAGAGCCCGATGACAGAATCGGTCTAATCTAATCAAACACAATCAAGTGTGTAATCGAAACATAACTAAATCAATGTGGGAAATCTGAGATGTTATACCAGCTGCAGTGAAAAGACGTGGAAAGACATGCACACACACAAACACATCACAAGTCTCATCTATGCCAAATCTCCTCTTGGACACACCTTGATGTATCCCCAGGACACAGAGAACAGGTAGTTGGCCTCAGGCATGGTGCTGAGCTGTACCGAGCCCCTGGCGCTCCCCAGCAGAAGCCTTGTATGCTCCTCTCTGAGTGGACCCCCAAGGCTGAGCTCAGCCCTACAACCTGAAGCTCAAAGCGCCACAAAGCCCCCGCCTTACAACGGTCGACGGTAAAAACGCCCCAGCTGAACTCTCCAGAGAGGGGCTGTAGTGCACCCCTACATCCCCGGCCAAATGCGCCTCTTCATAGCGTCGCCTACTGTTTTCCAGGATCGCAAGCCACTGGCGAGAGTGATGGAATTCCCCTGAATGCAATCAATATTTCCCCTCCTTCTCTCCGGTTCTCGCTGCCTCTGTCCGTCTCTCTAAACCTCTTTCTCCTCCTGACACCATCCAAATGTTATCCAGATACATGCAGGGGAAATCCAGTCTTCCCAAACCGAGATTGAGCAGGGCAGGGAGGAAGGGCAGGCTCTAAGACAGAAACAGAAAGGAAAGGAGGGATGGAGAAAGGCAGAGAAGAGGAAGAGGGGTGTGCGCTCTAGCAGTAGTCTCCTGTGGCAGGAAGGCTGATGGAGTCTCTCTCTCCCTCTCTCTCTCACTCTCTCTCTCTACCTCCCACCCTTGCTAAACACTAAGCCATGCACAGCACTGCAGAAAAAGGGAGTTTAGAGAATCCCCCAGATCTTTCTTTCTCTGGCTATTTCTCTCTCCCCTCCCACTGTCTCTTTTGCTCCCCCACATCTGTTCCCACCCTTCTACATCAGCTCCCTCTGCTCAGTAATGCAGAACAGATCCAACGCATACTGCGCAATGTGAGGCTTCAAAGCACCAGAGGGTTTATCACATGGGTGAGGAGAAGCTGGGTATTAATTTACCAGACTGGGTTTGATCCTCTTTTTGTGCATTGTAGAAGCAGAGCCATAAGATGCTGTGCACACTTCAGTCCATAATCCTTTCAGCACATTTTAAAGACCCATTCCTGTTCTCAATTATAAAATATTGCTATTGTCTGCAATATTTTCCAAAAACACCATGATTCCTGTCTCACTGCAGAAGTTTTCTGTATTAAAAGACACAAATGGAGATGACCGGAGACAAACAGATGAGTGTTTTCAGTCTGCCGCCCACCAGCGTATGACCAATTACATGACAACCTGAACGCCATGGCAACAGAGTCACATGGTCCCCCCCCATCATTCTCACGGTGGTCCCCACTCTAAACGCATTGAATCAGATCACACACACACACACACACACACACACACACACTACACAATCTATAGCAGAGAATCTCTAGATAGAAATAACTAGGCTAGACACTGTAAAAACACACAAGCACAGACACATTTTCTGTTGCAGAATCTGATGCAAAATGTGAGATAAGCAATAATGCAAAACCACATCCTAATCTTTATACTGAATACAGTGGTGTAATCAATAATTTTCCTGAAAATGTGATTGCAATTTCCTGTTTTTATAATGTCAACACTATGGGGGGAAGAAAAAAAATCAGCCATCTTCATGCCTTTTGCCAGGGCTTTTTTTATTTCTTACAATGGGGTCTTTTCTCTTCATACTGAATCAGACTCTCTGGTCTCAACAGCTGTCTAATAGCTGTCAAGCAGACAGCTAGCATCTACTTGACTGTGAAACTTGAATAACACTTTCAAAGCATTGGCTGCACTCAAAACCCAGACTGCCAGAGGCAGTCCATAAAAATCAAAGAGCTCGAAAGGACAAAAAATTGAGCTTGGAATCAGAAGGGCTTATTCCATTCAAAATGATTGCAATTGATTCTTTAAAGCATGGTACAGTGTGGATTTATGTGACCTCAAGGAAATGAATCAGGCACAGAGCCACATGTCAGTCACACAGGGTCATGTAGTTCAACGGCATGGTGAGCAAGTCTATGAATGTGTTCAGGAGAATAGATTACTCAATGCGTGATGTTAACTCATACATCCTTTTACGTTAGCAAACAGCGCTGACATTCAGAACAAACCGTTGTTTTAAGTAACCTAGAGAAGTTACATAACCTCTGCCGAAAAAAACCCACAAAACTTGTGGTTAACACTCAGAAGATGACGAGCTGATGTCTCATAAAGTTTGAATATTCAAAATAGGTGCACAGTGGAATCATTGTCTCGCAAAATAGTATTAAGCCAAAACACGATTGACAACTGAACTCATTTAAACACACATTATTAACGCAAGTGCTAAAAGGTTTTTAAAACAAATAGGCCACCACACTACTGGTTTTATCTTGCTCGCTGGAATCCTAAAAACAAGCCAAAACAAGACAGGGAAATCTCAATGTAATGACTTAAAAAAAGTACACTAAATTCAGTATTTAATTGTGCTTTCTAAAGAAAATAATGACCTAGATCAAATCAATTAATCCATTCTTAAATCAACTCACACTCTCCATACGGCAGACCACACGCACAGCTCCAAAACAAACTCACCTTTTTCCAATTGTAAGCATCCCAAAGTTCTTCGTCTGCTTGTCAGAACAACATAGTCCCATTGTCACTTAACATAAACCAAACACAACCCCAAAAGAAATCCTGTAAAGTTCTACAAGTTAAACTCTGTCTCCTGCCTGACTCAACTTCAGAAAAGAGAACAGAGAGTGTAAGCAAACATAGCGATAAAGCAGACTTGACTGACTGGCCTACACAGCCTAACCAGAGATCGGCGGCTCCTCCCTCCAACACAGGCCCGAGCATGTGTCCCCACCTACTTCCCCTTTACTTGATAAAGTAGTTCACTGAGGTAATTTACTGGTAGACATCCTGCTTCCTAACATAGCCTCAAGCACCATACATCTAACATATCTGAGCCAATCACTGAAAGTCCCAGATGTCATGTTTAGCAGGCAGCCATGCTGATGTATTGTTGAGGAAAACCACAATGACATGTATTTGGGACAAATTTTTCAGGTTGGCTCAGTTCTTACATCACACTTTTGACCTTTACTGGGATTGCACAGAAACAGATTGACATCATATTGCATTACCTCGACTGTGCAATCTGACAAAGCCCGGAGTGGTCCAATGCTGCCTCTGTCCCTTGTGTTGCTGTTTACAGTCTCAACACACAGTGGATTATGCCTGGTGTGTTCACAGTTTAGTAACATTAGAAAGACACATTTCCTAGAAGGTGTTGATCAATTGTAGGTAAGAATAGGGTTACAGTAAAAACAAGTTTCATATTTACCATACTCATTGTGGCTTATTTTCCATGATAACAGCAGATTACAGAGGTAAAACTTTTCAATTGCAATTAGGCACCATAATCACTACTGCAGTTTGGCTGATCCCCTCACTGCCCTTTCAGTCAAACGGAATCACACTATAATTTAATGTCCATTACTCCTGCTACAGCTACAGACCCACCACTACATCTGTTTCAATAATTTTGTCATTTTTTCCCCTCTGAAGACGGCGGTGCTTCAAAGTTGAAGTGACCACATGTGAGTTAAAGTTTCCTACTCGCTCGCGCTCCGCTCGGGGGCCCGCTTGCACACTAACCCGCAAAGCGCTACACTCCTCTAACTGAATTCAGATGGCAGTGTTTGTCCAAGGCCGTCACCAGCATCAGCATGGAAGTGTGGCAAAGCTAATGATAGTGAGGGGCAGGGAAGCAGCTCCCCGCTCTGAGGTCACAACGACCGGGTTGGCGGTCAGCAGGGTGTGTGGTCCTGTAGCCCCGGATACACCTGTGCCCTTGGACACTGAAAATGGAGACACCCTGGGTTTGATCGTGGGTTCAATTACATCCTCTCTGGTTCTGAAAAGAAACGGGCACTTTGTCAAACACCACGTCATATAAATGCTGGGAAGGAGCAAAAGCCTGCAGATGCTGCATTAATGGTGCAACACTAAAACCATATTTGACACCAATTGTGCAATAAAAACGTGAATCGGTTGATTTCTTTCCATCGCTGTACAATTGCACAACAATCTAGCACATTGACAAATCTAAACTTACATCATAAACTGTCGACTGCTGCTCTTTCAAAAACAGCATAGGTCAACAATGTTCAGTGGTGGTACTGGGTCATACTGGGAGGACTCCCAGTGAACAATGTGCCAGGCCTGCCCGACCAAGTGGCTGTGCTGATGAGCGCCTGCAGGGCCTTGTGTTCATTGTCTTGACAGTCCCAGTGACGTGGTTGTCTGTACAGACTCAACCTGGCTGAACGGTCAAAGCGCCGCTATTGTCGTCTGGTAACCAGGGAGCAGAGGAGAGGGGGCAACGTGGGGCACAGGAAATAAAGAGACAGGAAACTGGTGTCACGGTCACCCGTTGTCACAGTCTGACAACATTCCCTCCCCAATCCGCCCTCAGACCACAGCGTAGAATACAGACGGAAACGGACAACACCACCCTGGGTGTTTATAATCTGACGCCGCCATACAGTCTCCACTGTCTGTGTGGGGGTTGAGCAATACTGTACAGTAATTTGGGTGAGCTCTACACGGATGAAATGCGCACAAACAACTTTCATGTGCATCAAAGCATAGGGAAGTAATTAGTCCTAAAGAGCTGCTTTGCAGTCTTACACTACCACAATGTGTTGATTTAGATTGACTTAAACCAAAACAGTAAGCGGATTTAAAAAATAAAGAAATAACATATTGGACCATATCTGTAATGCCAAGCGATGACAATGGATTTTAAAAAATCTTTAGCCACACCAGTAGGGTCTCTAGGGATCGTAATGTTAATTTGTCTGTTGGACTGGATATTCGTACACTCATAGTGCCCAGAGGATGTTCAAATGACTTTGGTGATGCCCAGACTTTTACTCTACCATCATGAAGCTGACTTTTTTTTGTAAAATTAGTATTAGTATAAGATGGATTGCCATGAAATTTGACATTCAGACATTCATGTCCAACTCAGGATTTATGTAATATCTTTGGTGATCCTTTAATGAAATCACTTATCAATTAATCACTTCTTATTGTCTATTTGTGAATGGGTTGAAACCTCACATAAAAATGAACCACATGCCTGCTCTCAAAGTTCCTTGGAACAGCTACTATGCTGCATCCTATGTGAAGAGATAGAGTTGGATTTTCTGAGTGCGCGCTCCAGAGCCTCTTGCTTACCGATTCTGAAGTGTACACATAGTGACATCACCCCAGCTAATGAAATAGAGTCCATTAAGCCCTGGATATACTGGCTTTTTAACAATGCGTAGGCTAAGACAGGCGTTGGAGATGCAAAGATGCAAACGGCATTGTTCACACACACTTGCCTGCGTACTTTGCGTGTACCTGGAAGAATAAACCTGTATGCACTAGGGGGCAATCCAGGACCGGATCATCCCTCGCCAACACCAGATTATGTTCCTCCAACAACCTTCGAATTTACACATCGTAAACAAACCAAACATAGCGACACTCGAGCAGGTTGTGATTTTAATGAGACACGATAATGATCTCGGTAATTGCGGACTAGCTACAGGAGTTTTACTGTAAACATCCCGCCATAAATCTCCTTTTTTTAAGTCTGCTGCTGACCTTCTTCTTTTGCATTTAATGGCGGTTGGCAAACCAACTGCATACCGCCACCACCTGGGCTGGTGTGTGGAACAGTAAATTGCTGCTAACCTGTGGCTCAGATCGACATACTGCCCCCCACGTTCATGTGTGGAATTGCATCTCATGGACGTGTAGCATTAATTCCTGGGGACGTGCTCAACCTACCCTCCAAAGGAACGCAGGATACACGTGGCAGCCATCTTGGGTATGTGAACGTGTAGTTAAAAGGAAGTATATCCAAGGCTTAAACACCAAAAAACAACTGGCTTCCAGCACAACACAGACTCCACGTAAGGATAAAAACCACCAAAAAGGTTATTGAAGGTATTGTGATTATGTACTTTAGCTGGCTCAAGTTAGATAATGTTAGCTCGCAGGCTAACATTACTAACATTATCAGTTAGTATTGTTATCTGTTGCAAAATACTATAGTTATGGCTTGCCACATTACTTCACTAGCTAACACAATCCATATTGCTATCCTGTGTAGACATTTCTTACTTTCGCACATCGCACGTACGCTGTGTGAACACGACGTCATTATGATGGCGCTGTTTGCAAAGTGGAGGAAGAGAGAGAAAATAGCAAGGGACGAAGAAGAAAGGGTCCACAGTATGGGATTATTTCAAGCTAAAAGAAAACAACAACTCTGTAATGTTACAGTCCGTCCACCATAAAATGAAACGTATGTCGCCTACCGCAACAGCATATGATCAGAAAGCACCCGGTGATATGCCATCGGAAAACAGACAAGGTAACAGTAACAGCAACTTTAGCATTTAACTGAAACCATGACTGATTGTTGAGTTGAAGGCTAGCCAAAGTAAGCTACAGTCCTAGGCTGAAAATGTACACACGAGCCTGTTTTTGTAACGTTCAATTTTCGATTAGATTTATTGTCTCAGTCTTCACAGGTACTCAGCTTCTTTGCCTTTCTCAATCGCCGTAACTTACGTGACATAATATACAACAGTAGTAGTTCAGTCTGAAACATCACCACTAGAGGCCGCTGAAAACTACACATGGCCCATTTAACCTTCAATATTGCATCATCATTAGATCAAAATTTAAATTTGTCCAAAAAACTAAATGTGAGCCTATATAACTAAATATATGCAAAGCTAATGACATTCATCAGGCTCAGCTGTCCATATTTGCTAATTAGCAAATGTTAGCATGCTAACACTCTAAAATAAGATGGTGAAATGCTTGCAAACATTTGTGTTGGCACTTCTCGTTTCCTATTTGGTTAAATTATTGTTAACATTTCTTCTTCTTCACAAACTTAAGCACAAAACAGCAGCCATTGTTGTAGCACTACCTGCTTGTTTAAAAGCAGACATACAGTAGAGGTGACCATGCCATGCCTGCTCCAGAGCTAGTAGAATAATATTAATTAAATTAATTAAAAAGGAGAATAAATGGAGTGCTTTCAAATGGTGGCATCACCAACACAGAAAGCAAAGAGGATACAGCACAAAGTACTGAAAGATACTCCTTTTAACTAAGAAGAGAAGGTTGACAAATATTGTTGTGTTTACTTTTAAAGCTAGTATGGCATTTCCTCTAAGAAGTCTTCATTTGGTTAGTTAAAACCTATTTATATGCTCTACAAACTGATGTCTGTCAGTTAAATGTGACATTTTTTGATGTCACTTGAGAAAGTGAACCAATGTCCCACTGAGCTCAACATTTCAACAGAACCAATGCCACCATCAATACCACACTTAAATGAATGACAAATGCTTTTGTGTGCAGTTTAAATCATACTGCATGTACATCAGCAGCTCAGCATGGTTATATAACTAGCCATGTGTCTAGTTTGACTAAGGTGCGTAAATTTAAGCAGAACAATGCTTTCCATGGAATACAGATATTTATGCTATTCAAAGATAACAGGAACTCTGTAGCCATGTATGCAAAACAAAACACTGCTAATATTATTAGTTTGTTTTTTCTTTACAAGACATCCCTAAAATGATGATATCTGTTTATACACTACCACAGAACGGCGGTTACTTTGCAAGTGCGTCACTGTGGCAAGTGGCAAGTTACATTTTGCATACACAAGTTTGACTGACAACCACACTGCAACAAAGACCAATAGTACAGCTGTGTACAAGTCAGTCAGGTCATCATACAGTAGCAAGTCCAGTGTTAATATCAGGTCTTCTGACAGCATTTTACACAATACATACTGTCATAACTGTGTAATTTTCAGATGGTTCCTATACAAGTTCATGAAATCGCATTAAAACATTTCAAATATTGCTCATACCACCAACAAGAGAAGTGGTGCTTCAAGCCAACAACAATATTGCCAGACATCCCTATATACATGTTTTTTCCTTAAACGTATGGTCTAAAATATGACAGTAAAATGTTTTGTTTGGAGAGAAATGTATCGTGCACAACAAGCTGCTTAAATGAAAATCAACAACTGCAATGCTGTAAACAAAAGTCTCATTTAACTTAAGGTCTGTCCTCAGAGTCACATTACTGGACTGCAAAAACTTAGCAACTTCACAAAAGCACTGTTTGCACATTTAAATATAATATATAGGCAAATTGTCCTACCTTGTTGGAGGCCATGTCGCTGACGGAGCGGTAGGTCTGGATGGTCTCCAACTGGTCCAGACACCAGTCCAGCTCCTCCATGGTCTCCATAGCCAGCTTCTGGTAGGACTCATCTGCCAACAGACACATGGACACGTAATCAGGTCCAAGAGGATCCATGTCCATAGTGGAGCCCCCCGACACTATGCGTGCAGGTCCGAGGGTCCCAGAGTGGCTTGATCTTAGGGAGGACTGGCCCGCAGGACATCCAGGAGACGCAGAGGAAGAGGGGGAGGTGTGTACACAGAACTCCTTCATCTTGTTACGCTTCACCACCTCAGAAAACTCAGGGAAGTCGTACTCTCAGACACACTGAGGCTAGAGTTACTGTTTACTGACTCTTCCTCTGTAGTCTCTTTCTCTCTGTACCCCCTCTTTCCCTCGTTCTTCAAACCCCCTCCCACTTTGTCTGGCTCCCTCGCCCCCTCTCAGGCTCTCTCTCGTTCACTAATCCCCCCTGGTGGTACCACTCCACTGAATGAGTCGCGTGCAAACTAGGCGGTCTGCTGCCTCCTGCTGTTGATGCGTCTGTGATCCCCCTCCCATTTAAAACACATACAAATGATGTGTACTTACAGGTACAGTACACAAGCCAACTGAAGAGAGGCTTTTACTGAAAGAGATCCATCTGGGTTTACTATTTTATACTCTGATGGAATAAACAAATGTATCTTTGTGATATTTAATACAGTATATTAAAACTGTACGGAGGAGTATTAGAGAAAATGGAGGGGGATGGGTCGGAGAGAAAAACCTACATGAACTTATTTAATACATTTAAAACAACTGCTCCAACTCTCAACTCCCGGTGACTTCCTTTCTGAAACATGCAGACCACTTCAAGGCTGTACTCTGCTGAACTGCAGCAGCAGCAGCAGCAGCTCACACCACACCACTATGCTTCACAAACTGGCTCTCTCCTCTCTGAACCTTTCTGAGGGGGGGGGGGATTATATCAAACACCAAACTCTGTGTTTGCACAAGCAACACGAGAGGCAAACTTTGACTCCTGAATTGAGGGGGAGGCCAGGCCAGGGTTTCACTGTGTGCGCCAAAGAAACCAAAGCACTTCCTCTTTGGCCCTGAACTCATCCAAAACATGGAGCGGAATTACTGAATGGCGGAGTGACTGCTGAGGACAATCATAGCCGTCATTCGATGAAATAGCTCTGTCGTTAGCTATGACTCACATGTGGTAGGCGTTTTAGCTTTAGAGGGAAAAAAGTGGTTTATGAGAAATGCACCGAGATGATAAAACATGAGGAAACAAATTAAGAGGCACAATTCTCTGATAAACCAGGGAGAATGTTGATTCAACAAATTTCTGCCCTGAGGGAGTGAACACTGAATGCATCTGGATCTCCCCACCTTCCTTTTTCTACGGAAAAGACTGATCTCGACTTCATAGGGCTTCACACATGGAAGAAATTTACCCCATATGCTTAGCACAACAGGACAGCCAGCGTGCTGCTCCCCAATTTACGTCAATATAGTAGATCAAAGCACTTCAAAGCACAGTGATGGCGTATAGACTCTGAACCACCAGTGTTTAACAAAGAACTTCAATGAAATCTCAGACAACTTATGTACAGTTAAGGAAACCTCCCACCATTGTGACTGAATCAAAAAAGGAGCGAGTCAAGTTTCGACCATTTATGCTCGACTGCGGTTTTTAGAAATCAGGCCATTGGCTCCTCAGATTGCAGGAGCACAACTGCTCGTACTAGCCTCATTCCTCAGGTCAGACCAATTTTCCTTTACTTCAGCTCCAGGTTGGAGAATTCAAAGAACCCTTGGCTACAATATACAGCTGGACGCCAAGCATCGTGGTTCAAAATATTCACAGGAACCACTGGCATCCAAGCCATGTAAAAGTCGGTGACACAGACAAGAAATCAAAGCAGCTCATGCACAAGGCGGTGAGCTGTTGAAACAGGGTATACACCAATGTGCGGCCGTCTTGAGCCATAGGGGCAAGAGACATTGCCAAGAAGGTGCAACCACATCCTGCTCCCGTTCCCCCCGATGAGGGCATATAAAGACATGAGACATTTTAACAAGCAGTCGGGAAACATCAAAGGCTTGGCTCATCCACACCGCCTGTATTCATGTCATTTTGAAGCTGGAGGCTGATTCACATACACAGTCCAGAATCTGATGGCAGTAAAAAACCTCAGACGTAGACTAAAGAACAAAGGCTTACTGGTTTTAGTGTCTGGCTTCAAATCGCTTGCTACAGCAAGATCACTGAAGCAGAACTTCACATTCATCTGTTGCGTTTCCTACAAATGACAAAAGCTGGACCTGTGGCCACAATTCTTTAACATGAGTCATGTTATAATCAAGTCTGAAGTTGTAATTGAAATGAAACCATCAACACCCTGGTTGATCATAAATACAGTGTGCTTAATGGGCTGACAGACATTTCACAATGTCACCAGTCAAAGGTAGCATGACGCACGTTCAGTCTGAAAAACCTGCTCCCAGACAGTGCAAGGTACTTTTCCAGCCCGTTTTTTTTCAGTGGAAGTCTTTTTTTTTTTTTTTCTTTCTAATGCTTTGACCATATGCTGGAGGCTGCCGAAAGGACAACCGACCTCAGTGTGCAGACGGACCCTGTCTGCCTCCCCTCTCTCCCTCCATCTCTCTCCCCTATAGGCCCACAAACCAGCCTCTGTGAGAGCCATCAACTGCACCAATGACCAGGGCTGCAGCTCAAACCCCCCACCCCCACCCCCCGAAACTCCAACCCGAGACACCTTCCGATCACAACCACCTCACACTGCCCCTCTCTGTGCTCGCAACCCACCCCACAAAACCCGTTTCCTCTCGCTGTCTGGCTGAAGCTTGGTGTTCAGAATTGGACTGCCTCATCTATCATACCACCAACTGATAATCTATAGCCAGTGGTATTCAGATCCTTTACTCAAGTAAAAGTACTACCAGAATAAAGTAATTCAATACAATAAAAATACTTGCATTAAAATATTTTTAAAGTACTAATTGTACAGAATGGGGTTATTATTGGTGCAATAACATGTAACAAGTATTTAAATGTTGTAGCTGGTCAAAAAGAAGCTGCTTTCATCTACTGTATATACTGTTAGGTGGGGAAATATTAAACAGTATATATAAAAATGCATTATTTTTCATGTTTTGTATATTAACCTGCAACTTGTAACTATAGCTGTCAAATACCTGTACACACACACACACACACACACACACACACACACATCTAGATCTATCGATCGATCTCTATCTAGATCTATCTATCTCTCCATCTATCTAAATTAAGTATAGTAGATATTTTTACTTTATATATCAAGTACACTCATTAAGTAAAGTACATGAATAACTGTTAGTTACTTTCCACCCAGGGCAACAGCAAGAGTTTCTGTGTAAGCAACCTTACATGCTTGCACACAGTGCATTTGAGGTTTTAAAGGAGTATCTGAGTTTTCATGGTGAGGTTGACTTTAACACAGGGACTAATATCGCTTGGGTCTTATTTATTCACACTAATTTGACTTGTCAGGAAATTATGGGGCCAGTTACAACAGAGGGTCAATGAAAAACACTTGAGTCATCACCTTCAGTTAAAGTGTAAACAGCTCCGAGCTATCTGCATGTACGCAAGCACACATTCCCCACCTTGTGCTCGCCACATTATGAAGCAGTTAATGCACATTTTGACACAGATACGTGCGCAGAGTCAGTGCTGTTTGTTTTGAGTTCGCACTAAACATGGAGCTGAGACAGATGGACACTGAGGCTGAGTAATGAATCTTTTTATCAACCCAAATGTATGTCAGTTTATTTACCAGTAAAGTCTGAGGGGGGAAAAAAAAAAGTTTGAAATGAGGAAACAAACAGAGAAAATGAAAGGGAAAGAAAAGGGAGAAGTTCTACCAAATGTTTGTCTAATCAGAAAGCAACACAAAGGAATTATTATACAAAATAACCTGTCAACTCTGTAAATAACTGGTGGGAAAATACACCAAAAACTAAATATCTTGAATTTGATTAGTGACTTGCCTACAGCGAATTTCACTATTTGCTCTTTGAGCCCAAACAAATTTTCTCTTTGATAATGCAAGTACTGCTCCAATTCCAGAAAATGAATGTATCTGCTTCCTTATTCTCACGTTTTGTTTTTCCAAGAATAATTCGTTTTAATTAATTAATTATTTTATTATATAATAATAAATAAATAAATTCTATCAGGTATAGAAATGGCAGATTAAGCCAAATTGTTTATATTGTATTTTAATGTATTTGTTTTATGTTAATTAGCTTTGTCATTTCTAATTTTTTAACATAGCTGATTTTTTACAAAGCCGGTATATTCTGTTCACTTTTTTTCCCACTGCAGGACCCAACCTAACCTCTCCATAAGGATCAGTGAAAACTTTTATCAGATTATGATGAAAGATTTCTCACAGCCACAGACCAATCTCTTTTATAAGACATTACTAAGACATTACGGCCATTGTAGAAAAACTAAAAATTACAGAGCCACAGGAGAGGGGGTTATGTTCCAAGGAATGATTCAAAACTTCCAAGAATCAAGTCATAAAGTTACTAGTACAAAAACTTGGATATTCTCTGAGATTAAAGTGGTAAATTTACAAAGATAAAACTCAAATTTATGAGAAATAGGGCAGTTAGCAGATGAATTTAACGCAGGTGCAGGGCTCATATGAATGTTTTTGGTCTCAACCCAATTAATTCTTTTTGGTGCCTAAATATCTGGCATAGGATTACTTTAAGCCCCAAAGCTAAGCACGTAGGTGTTTGTGCTGTGAAATGGTGCTATGCTGTGCAGAGCACTGAAACAGAGCAAAGGAGATCGATAGATAAAAAGTTAGAAAGCATCACTTAGTTTGGTTTCTTAGCCTCCTTGCTTTTCGTGGTTGTAAACAGAAGTTAGGCCTAATTCCATTTCCCTCATTGTAGCATCGACCCACAGACAGGAGAGACATGATAGGGAAGAGAGAGAGAAACAGCTGTTTCTACGTGTCTCCCCCTACTGAATTTAAATGATTGTGAATGCTTTGATTAATAAATGTAC